AATTTTAAATAATCAGCCGGGTTTCCATCAAAACATCGTGGTTCAAATTTAGGGAGTTTGATGTTCCTATTATCTCTGAACGGCGAAACAGTAACATCAACCATGTCATGCTTAACATCAGACACATCGTTACAAGTAACAGACAAGTCACCATGACTTACTTTCCTGTTTGCATCCAAGACGCTCTGTCCCTTCTTTGACCCAGGCATTGTTGAACTTGACCCAATTCCAAAAAGTTCCAGATAACGCTTGTTCAAAGAGGACTTGACCAGCACCAGGAAAGATGAACGGTGACTATCCAAACTTTCACCAGCTGTCTGAATCCGCCGGAATCTTTTTCGACTGTCAGAAACTGTCAGCTACGTCTCGTAAACCGTTAATGCCCAGCTGTCGCTACGCTGGGACTCACGCTGTTCCTTGAAGTTTCCCAGAAACGCTTAGTAATAACGGACGCAAAAACCAAAACACCGATTGGCCACTCGAGAATTCTTTATTGTAACACCAACATATAAAAAATGTTTCCACTAAGGTCTGTGAACAAATATTACAATAATAAATCACAATATTACTTCTGACGGTTTGCTACTGACTTCTTTCTGAACAGCGACCGATGAGACGATGACTGTCGTATTGATGCCTCCGCGAATATTTGGGAAGTTGGTTTTGAGCGAACAACCATGAATTGATCGTTCAATCTTCAACTACATTGACATTGGGAGAGTGACAAATCCATGCAACACTGTGGGGATGGGTACGCCTGAAGCATGTGATAGCTCGGTCTGTTCAACGGTGCATAATGCGGTCCCCATTATCAAACCTGCCATCATGATTTTTGGTGGTCACCATAGATGCAACACTGGAAAATAACGCTTTTCATTAGACTAGCTTGCAAAGCGAGAAGGTACGGATGGGATGAGATTTCGAATAAAACTGGACGGCAGATGGCAGTAACTTAGTTTTTAGCACCATTACAATGAATGTCTTCGCTATCGCCTGTCGTTTTCTCTTATCTAAATTCTCCGACTATCTAATCCTCTTCAAATAAAAAATAAGAGTGAAAAAATCACTTAGCTATATAGCTGGAAGAGTATTCTATGACAGTGCACTTGCGAGTAAAGATTCGCATTGATTAATGTTCCGTGGTCTGTGCGAAAGCTGATGTACTGCCCAGACAACCAAACAAAAATGGATCGTAAGAGATCCCCCTCCAAGCTTTTGAGTTGCAGTCTGATCCACAAGGCAGCACGGTGGCATCGGGGGTTGCGTTCCCGTTATTTTCAGTCTCCAAAAACAGTTTCGAACTAAACACACTCAATTATTTAACACAAACATATTTACAATCAATACATCAAATGTTGTGGACGCCTACATTCCTTCTCAGGTTGATGATATAAGTGGAAAGACGTCCGGACACAAACAAAATTAACAAACAGATCGATGAGAGATGACAACAAATATATATATATATATATATATATATATATATATAACATGAACATATGTACAAAATCACACGCCAAGCACGATGGACTGCTCTTCGATGTACTACCCTTGAAGAATTAAATGACTTACAGCAGTACGCCTACAACCCTTCTCAGGTTGACGCCCTAGGTTGGAAAATCGTCGAAGAGTTCCTTTGCGGACCTCCTATCATCTGTATCCTCAAATCTGAACGGCAGCACGCCCATGTCATTGTATCTTGGAACATAGATGACGAACAAACACACGACGTATCTGATCAACCAAACGTAGATGTGGTGATTGATAATTTCTGTCTATTGTTTAAATACTTACTGTTGATTGTTAATATGTTTCTTATAAGAATTGCATAATAATTCCGCAAAATACAAATTTCTGAATTCCGCCCTCTCTGTGTTTTGTTTGGATTCTTGTAATTCGGTCATCTCGAAATACTAATATTACGATTACAATAAATTTCTACAGTAGACGCAGAGTAATTTACACCAAAAATGATAGCATTCAGATAGTAACTTGAAATGCTTTATTCATGCAAGCCAGTTTAACAATTACTCTCTCATACACAGTTGGCTTATCCTCACTAAACTGACCATTGACTTTCGTCCTTTCACACGGACCTATACTAGCATAGTCATAGCATAAGGCACATGAGTTCATGGACGTCATTTTCATTGTGGATGACAACACCAAATACTACTGATTGGTGCCAGTTGAGGAGCTATTGTTGTTTGACCTTTAGAAGGTTGTCTAACTGCAAGATTACCGCCACTGCTGTATTTTATTATTAGCTCTAGTTTAGCAGTAACATTTGTCGATTGGTGGGCTAAACGCGGATCAATTACACTGACGGTCTCATGAGAATCTGTATCTTCTACCACCTCATCTGCCCTTAATTCTACTTCACGTTCAAGTTGTACAGAACCTTTGTTCAACTCAGTAGTAGTTGGCATTCCGCTCGTCTCATGATGACCAGCCAAAGACAAATGTGCACTATCATGATCATTGTCACAAATATCCACTTTACTGCCGTTTGTATGATCGACTCCATCATTTTCAAACTCTTTAATAACAGCAGTAGATAATTTGGGTTCTTCCTCCCAAATCTTTAAATGTTTTATACCATGACTTTGACTAGTAATACCTTGTAAACTTGTGGAGTCAGAACTGGACTCTGAAACTGTAACTCTCTTCTTCTGCACAAATTGCGGTGTCGTCTGTGCCACCCTATTCAACAATGGCCTACCAGTTGCAACTGCAGGCTTCTTCACTGCACCATTATCGTCACAAAATTCGCAGTCGAACCTCGATGACGCTGATTTCACATTTAGCTTACTATTAGAATTAGTCACTGCTTAACAGTTCGCCTTTGTGTACACTTCTTACAAACGTGTAAAACACAACCGTGTTTGCCTCGCAACTTATAACCTATCTGTTGAGGATGTACCACGAAAGCTGTTACTCACACTAAGTTTATATGCATTACTAGACACCATAGAGCCTTCTCGATATCCGCTTCTCTGAGACCCTTTCGTCATCAATGATTGCGTTTTGTCCTCACACTGCTCCATTCTAGGGGTGGGATGCAATATACTGGCAAACTTGCTCATAGATTCATTGACACTATCGTTTACCAGTTTCAGAATACCACCGAACTTTGGCTCGATACCTTCCTCCTCTATACGGGAGTTTATCTTCACCCACTTCCTTTGCAGTCGAGTAGGTAGGTGTCCCGCTATTATCTCTAGGACCGAACTTGAGTTCAGATCACTCATGCAATTCATCGAAATCAATGCGTTCTTGTAAGTCAATAGATTATCCAAAAACTCAGAGAGTGCCTTTGAGTCATCTTGTAATTGATCACCATTACCCTTAACAGCCTCGAATACCTTCCTTACAACCATCGAAGGTCTTCCGAATCTTTGACGCAGTATACTCATAGCCTCAGAGTATCCTTCGTTAGGGGACATGAACATACAGCACTGTATAACTCTTGGAGCAACTCCAGTGCAGTACCTCATCAAATACATCAACTTTATTTCACCATTTGATAAAAAATTACTCAACATAATTCCAAACTCCTTAACAAAATGTGGATAGTCAGATGGGTTTCCGTCAAAGTATTGAGGCTCGAATTCACTTAATTTTAAACCCTTACTATCCGTAAACGGCGAATCATGAACAACAGACTCATGCTGAGCATCATACATATCATTACATGTAAGAGACAACTTAACATTATTTGCTTTCTTGCTTGCTTCCAAGACGCTTTGTCCCTTCTTTGACCCAGGCATCATTGAACTTGACTAAAAATTCCAGAAAAGTTCCAGATGATACTTGTCCAAAGAGGATTCGCAGACACCAGGAAAGACGAACAGAAACTATCAGAAACCGCCATTGTCCAGCTCTTGCTACGCTGGGCCCCACGCTGTCCCTCGAAAACTTTCAGAAACAATTTGTAATAACCAACGCGAAAAAGCAGAACACAGATTGGCGACTCGAGAATCCTTTATTCTTACGCCAATATGTAACCAACAATAAGGTTATTACACACAAGGTCTAAGGATAAATGTTAAAACAATAAATCACGATAATACTTCTGATAGTTTTGATGATGTTGCATGAATGCCCGTAAGCTTTTATCTCCTACTCACACGATCTCCTCCATGGGAAATCACAAAGAGTGAACGCATATGGATCACTGAGAACAATTCAGAGCTATATCACTGATTGTCTCCAGTCACAAAAACTTTTGAATCCCGACGACCCCCACCCCACCCCACTAGACATTGTAAACCTCTTTACGTGGCTGGCTCAAAGTAACTGCAAAGATTTCGTGGACTGAATCCAAGTTTCAGTTCAACCACCATTGGCTCTTTTCTAACCTAATCCTATTTCAGCTAAGATTGATCGCATAACGTGTCCTAGCCATCTTAATCGATATAGAGACACAACCTCATCGACTATCTTACTCTCCTCATCTAATCTCAGTATTACTCACCCTGTTATGCCACCTAACCTGGGAAATAGAACGCAGACACACCTCAACTTTTTCATGTCTTCCACTTTCAATGATCATGTCTAACAGACATAAAGGAGGACGAAGCGAACTTGTGAGCAGTACGCACACCCTTTAGTCGACAACCAGCCGGATATCACGCCTACGTTAAAGACGGTGTAATCCGGAAAGTCTCACACAAGTCTTTTATATTGGTAATCAAATTTCATTACCAATCAGTTCACTGTGGCTGATACAACTTTTATTTTTCAAATTTTAGCACACTCTACCACTTCAATCTCTATCTTCAAGCTAAAAGACGATGTAATCCAATCCTGTAGCATCATTTTACATTTGACAGGGAGCAAATGTCATGAAAAACATTGGTAATACGAGAAATTTACAAACACACACACACACCTTTATATATATATATATATATATATATATCATATTTTATTCTTCTGTATACAAAAACAGTATGATTAAATATTACAATTTTTCATAAGTTGATTTATAATCACAATCAGTACAACATTTATAATAAATATCTGCCTTTGCATCATATTCTTCTGGTCCAAATGTATGCTCATGAGATTTATGTACCTTCATATACAAGCTACTACGTGTTTGAAGTTTTAACTCTGAATTGAAAAAAAATGAACATTGAAATAAAAAAAAAACTATTTTGCAAATATCAATTTATTTTTTTTATTGAACTGTATACTTAAATTTTTGTGGAGTAGTCACACTCATGCTTATGAGGTATCAGGGAAGAAAAAGAATAAATCTAAATTTAGAAAAGAGAAAGATTGAGCGAAGAAATATTTACTTTTCAATTAGATCCTCATCTCTGACTCTACTCTAATATATATAGCATTTTAATTACAATACACAACAATTTACCAATCAAGTGGCGATATGTTTGTTAACAATAATTAGTCAGTGTCAAAATGTCAATGGGGTGATAATTAACGAAGAAAAATTAATATATATAATTAAAAGGTGGAAATGGTTACAACACGTGGATTGCATAATGCATAATTTTGGAAAATTGAAGAGCAATTAAGGAATAAGCGTGTGCACGGGTTGATTACGTAACAGATTGTTAAAGAAAATAAAACAATTTGGACAATGATAATTTGTAACTAAAGTTGAAGTGGTCATAAGAATAAAATAATTTTTACAAGGATAACACGTAATTAAAGATGAAGTAGTCAGAAGAATAAAATAATTTGGACAATTATAGTTTTTAAAAAGAAAAATTATTCTAGGGGGAGGGTGATGGAGTAGTCCGGTTTATACAGTCATGTAACGATGGCCAAGGTAAGGAAAGTGGCTGTACAAATTTCTTCTGAACACACAGGTGTTTGGCTTCTTCAGGTGGATTCCTATTGCTTCAGCTGTATGTTCATAGAGCTAGGTTAATCTGTTCAGACGACTGCTTCAATGAGGAGCTTAAGATTATTAGAGAATTACTTAGAAAAAATGGTTATCCAGATAAGTTTATTCAGAAAAATATGAATTCATCACCTAGGACAGTGACTATGGCAACAGTTCCGAAAAAACCACTGTTCATAAAACTTCAGTTCCTCGGCGACAACATCAGCGAAATAATAACACAGCGACTGAAGAATGCAGTTAAAAGAGCTTATTATGCAGCAGAGGTACACTGTCTCTTCACGACCCCACCTATCCTACGTTCGAGTAATAAGGATAAACTGCCTAAATTCGCCTCTTCTATGTGTATCTACCAGTTTGACTGCAGCTGCGGAGCCAGCTATATCGGGCGAACAATTAGGCAGGTTCATCATCGTATTTCCGAACATCATCCGGCATTGTTAAGCAAGGGACAAACAAAATCTATTCGTAGCTCTATTTTAGCCCACCTTGTAGATAGTGAGCATAAGGTTGATGTTAATACTGCATTTAAAATTATTTATCGCATTCCTACTAATCTTAATTCGGCTTTACGAGTTCGTCTTCTACATACAGCTGAAGCAATAGGAATCCACCTGAAGAAGCCAAACGTGTGTGTTCAGAAGAAATTTGTACAGCCACTTTCCTTACCTTGGCCATCGTTACATGACTGTATAAACCGAACTACTCCATCACCCTCCCCCTAGAATAATTTTTCTTTTTAAAAACTATAATTGTCCAAATTATTTTATTCTTCTGACTACTTCATCTTTAATTACGTGTTATCCTTGTAAAAATTATTTTATTCTTATGACCACTTCAACTTTAGTTACAAATTATCATTGTCCAAATTGTTTTATTTTCTTTAACAATCTGTTACGTAATCAACCCGTGCACACGCTTATTCCTTAATTGCTCTTCAATTTTCCAAAATTATGCATTATGCAATCCACGTGTTGTAACCATTTCCACCTTTTAATTATATATATTAATTTTTCTTCGTTAATTATCACCCCATTGACATTTTGACACTGACTAATTATTGTTAACAAACATATCGCCACTTGATTGGTAAATTGTTGTGTATTGTAATTAAAATGCTATATATATTAGAGTAGAGTCAGAGATGAGGATCTAATTGAAAAGTAAATATTTCTTCGCTCAATCTTTCTCTTTTCTAAATGTCTAAATGGGGATATTTTCTATATTGAAATCTAAATTTCACCGACTAAATTTGCCTGTTATCATTTCTCATGGATGAGGAATCTCACACTACATTCCTGTTAGAATGCACATGCATGCACTGCCGCCTAATGATAATCTCATTGGGGGATTTTCAAAGTAATATACAGCCAATCAGATATTTAAAGGCAAGCAAGCAAACAAGCAAACACTGTGACAAAAACCAGTTTTTTCTTATAGTGGTTCTCTAACTGATGTCAGTTCATGATGAAATCCTCCATCCAATCAAACAAAATCCTTACAAAACAAATACTTGAAAATTAATCTAATGCTCACTAGCTGCTGGCCCTATTCAGGCAGTTAACCTGGGGTTCTAGTGGGTAACCGTGACCAGTAGGGTTGAAGATGAGGCAGTCGCTCATTGAAAAAGACATTGCGAAATGGTCACGCTATGTCGTGAATTATTGGAAGAAGTTAGAATTCATGCACTGGCCATTGGAACGGGTCCCACTGGCTCAATGGTCTACGAGCTCGCTGGCCTTGTAACCAAAAGGTCCTGGATCTGAATCCCGGTGTGTGAGTACTGCTGGAGAGTCCAAAACTAGGGTGAAACAGCTGTCCAGTACAACCAGCTGGTTTTCCAGTGGTTCTCTAACTGATGTCAGGTCATGATGAAATCCTCCATGCAATTCGTAAAACTTCAGTAGAACTCATTAGATGAATACTCTTTTAAAAATACCCTTCTTTATACAATTTCTCTTCAAGGTTAACATACATGCATACATACACAGTAACATTGTTAGAACAATAAATAAGTATCGATTTTAACAAACATTGTGTGACCTATAAGCAGTGTGAGCCTCACCTAGTCAACTAGCTTAATTGTCTTTATCAGCTTCATTCAACAGTTGACTACATGACACTGTCATGGGTCAGGTGATCCACAACAGGAAACTCAGCGAGACGTTTGAAGTGAATATAGGAGTAAGGCAAGCTGACTGGCTATATGTCTGTCTGTTATCACCGGTGACATTCTTAAATGTGATAACCTGGATTATGCATCAAAATGTGCACAGGGAGTGTGAGAAGACAGAAATACGTCGAACCATCGTCAAGAAGATCAAGATTTCGCGCGTGGATAACTTTTGTTTAATGTCACACAAACTCTAAGACTTACAGGCGAAAATCAACAAGCTGGCGCTGAAGAGGTTGGTAGAGAAGATAGGACTCCAGGTGAAAGTTGAAAACAAGAAGGTGACGAAGATAACCAACCAACTAACCAACAGTAGCGACCAGCACCAATCACCATCAACGGGAGAGATTTAACAGAGGCTCGTTACTTCCTTCACTTATCTGACCAGGAAGCATCGTTTAAACCACAGGCAACTGGAACGGATGAAGGTGTCAAAGCCAGGAAGAATCGGAAAGGCGGGATACACCTTTATCTACCTGAAATCAGCTTGGAAATCTCATTTACACGGTAGCTGAGCAACAGCGCCAAATTTCTACAGGTTCATACGCCATTTAATCCGTTTGGATTCTGGAATCCCTGTACACCATAGTAATAGTTATCCCGAACAACCTTTCTGACATGGTAGAACCCACAAGAACATAAGTTCTAGTCAGTTTAGCTTGTTGGGTCACTGAAATATGCAAGCTAAACCATTATCACATGAAGGTAGCAGTTATCGATCGGGCAGCTGATCGTTAAATTTAAAGATAAGTTACTAGATACAGAATCACTGAGTATTTGTAAGTTGTATCCGCTCCACATAAAGAATGTAAATAAGGCACAATATTGAAAAGTTAAAGGAAGTATTAATGATTTCACAATTTCCTGCTCTATCAGTAGGGTACAGCAGGTGGAAGATGAGGCAGTTACTCATCGAAGAAGACATTGCAAAATGATCACGCTATGTCATGAATTAGCAGAAGTTGGAATTCATGCACTGGTCACTGGATCGGGTCCCACTGGCTCAATGGTCTACGAGCTCGCTGGCCTTGTAACCAAAAGGTCCTGGATCCGAATCCCGGTGGGTGCGTATTGATGAAGAGTCCCAAACAAGGCTGACGAAACAGCTGTCCAGTACTCTCAGCTGGTTTTCCAGTGTTTCTCTAACTGATGTCGGCTCACGATGAAATCCTGTAACCTCATATATATATATATATATATATATATATATATATATATATATATATATATATATATATATATATATATTGTTGTCACTTTTAGCCCTGCCTTGTTAAGAATTCTGCGTAAGGTTTACGAGGTTTCTTCATTGTATGGAATTACTACCGATGATTTAGATTCCTTATTGTTGATATTGCTATTATCCCGTGTATGTAAGACATGCATGTCGTCATTAATATTACTATTATTATTGTTATCATCACTATCACTATTTATTTTATTTTTACATTTCCTTACATACTTTCTGACTAATTTATCAGTGCAATAATTCAGAAAGTATGCAGGGAAATGTGAAAATAAAATTAATAATGGTAGTAGTGATAAGGATAACAATAATAATAGTAATATTAATGACGACATGCATGTCAAACATGCACAGGATCATGAAAACACCAACAATAACGAATCTAAATCATCAGTAGTAACTGCCTACAAAGAAGGAATCTCGGGAACCTTACCCAGAATTCTTAACAAGGTAGGAATAAAATCGCTTGGTATTCACACTCATAAAATCAATTAGAAACAAGCTTTGTCAGTTAAAGGATCCTGTGGAGCATTTAAAACAAAACAATTTAGTTTATCTAATACTCTGCCTGCAATGACTGTCAGATCAAATACATAGGTCGGATTAGCCTAGCATAAAACACTATCAAAATGTAGATTAGTTGACCCGAATAAGATAAGAAATCTAGAGAATAGTTCAGTTATAGCATTCTGTCTGGTCTGTCTGGATTCGACATAGAACTTGGCACCAAAGTACAGCAGTTCGAGTTGCCACGTTCCAAATAGCACACAGAGGTAGACAAGAAGATGAGTGAAGAGAATCAAGTATAAGAGTGAAACAGAATG